CGGCCCAATAATCCGTGTACAAACAAAGGGATTTGTTTGTACACGGATTATTGGGCCGTGCATTATCGGGTCGTACATTATAGGGACCCGGGTTGTGTATCGATTTTGGATTTTTATTCTTATAGAAGTTGGAATCGATAGATTCATAGTTATAACATGAATTAAAAAACACTGTTTTCTCAAATTAATAATGACCATAACAAATAATGAGAGTAAATAAATGTTTATTACTACTACAGCCGTACGTAATCGAATTGCATTTCGCTATTACTTCTGTCGTCGCTAAATTCTCTACACTGTCATCTATACTGGAATCGTCCTCTAAATTAGTGAATAAGAAAATTGTAATTTTAGTTGAGTTTGATAATTATTTAAACCGAATATCGATAGTTCATAATTGTTCGCTGCGTGTTTCGTCACTGCGATACCTGTCTATGTACGGCATTTGCCTTCATACAAATTGAATTCGATACTTCATATGCGTCATTTATCAAAAAAAAATAGTAGTTTATATTTTTTAAATATAATGGAATATCCATGTTAAAAGAGATATCTAAAATCTAGTCACGACATCTGTTACAAGAAATGTACATTTTTACAATTATAAAAATAATTACAGATAATAACTGATTCAATGTTTTGTTTTAAAAAATCACTTATTTTTTTACTAGTTCCATATCAACCGTGTGCTTTGCAGGTTGCATTTTAGTTGAATAAAAGCTTGCGTACCTTTGACTGAACTATCGCAAAACTGTTTAATTGTTTTGTCAATTCAACTGTTTAGTTGCACAACTAAAACTCGAGTACTTTCATATAAGCACATATGAAAAGCGAAACTAAACAGTTGTGTCATAATGTAGTCAAAGGTGTGTACACTTTCTTACTCTAAATGGGATCGTAGTTATTGAATAGCTGTTGCTCGCGTCTTTGCCTGTGAAAAATGTTACTCAGTGATAACGTAGCTTTTTAATGGTGAAAGAATTTTTGAAATCGGCCTATTAGCAGTAGTTTTTGAGTTATTTCAATACATACAAAAAAACAAATCTTTGTTTATATTAGTACTAGCTGTTCCCGTGCGGCTTTATCCGCATAAAATTATGAAAATTTTATTGTTTAGATGTGTCAAATTATCAATTGTAAATGTCAAAATGACATGACATGATGACAAAGCGTGGCAACTTGGCTTCCTTGATGTTGGCAGCAACTAATGGTCTCTTTCCCACATTAGGATTTTTATCCAAAATATTTACCCCCTGAGTTTAATGTCGTCAAAATATGTAGCCTAAAGCGTGAGGTAAGTGTAGGGCTTTTAATAAAAAGAGGATTATTCAAAAATATGGTGTAATTGCTGACATCTTAGGCAACAAAGAAGTGTGTGTTTACGCTTTATTATAATAGTATAGATAGATTGTAAAAACAAATGACTTTTCCGTGGAGAAGTTTATTCAAATGTGGAGAAGAATTCTGTCTTCAGACCAGTTTCAATGGATTTTATCACATAGTTAAAGCAAGAAGACATTGGTTGGAAAGGTAAGCTAAAATTAGCATCCGCTCGTGACTCTGTATAGAATTAAAAAAACAAAAATAGCCTATGTGTTCTTCCAGACTATCCTCTACATCTTTGACATACATCGAGATCCGTTCAGCAGTTTAGGCTATGAAATTTAACAAAAATCAAACCATCCAAACTTTTTGACCGACTTCCCAAAAGAAGGAGGTACTCAATTCGTCGATATGTTTTTTTTTATGTGTGTTACGGCATAACTCCGCCGCTAGTGGACCGATTTTGATAATTCTTTTTTTATCCGAAAGGTAATGCTTGCAGGTGGGACCCATATTTTTGTTTAATTTTTACATATCATACTAATATTATAAATGCGAAAGTTTAGATGGATGGATGTTTGTTAGAGTTTGTAGCCTATACGGCGAAACGGATCTCGATGAAATTTATCATAGACGTAGATGATAGTCTGGAAGAACTCATAAGCTACTCTCTTTTGTTTTTTTTTTTGGTAAGGAGGCGTATTGACGTTTAGACGTGAGATATCTTTTTTTTTAAATTTAGAGTACTATGGGTTCTAATATCGGGTGCAGCTATATGGGGCGTAGCGGAAGTCTCCCTTGGTCAGTTCCAGCGATACAATGAGAACCCGACTGTAGTCACGTTGGAAAAGGACTTCCGATCTTGGCGTTTCACACTACCAGGGGTTACTATATGTGATCAGGTACGTAGTTTTAGAATTTAATATATTTGTAACAACGTAATTATACTGCGTATCAACTTTCGAATGGCGCTATTTATACGTCTGAATGACATTGACATCTGTCAAATAGGGATGGGACGTATATCAAATCTAGTGTGGCGCCAAACCTCCAGCGCAGTACCGATTTTCTTATTTTAATATTTATTGGAAAAGTACACCAATTGCATGTTCAAAGTTCACAGCCAAAACTAATACATGGTTATTGTTAATTAGACGCATTCCCGTTAGGACGTAATAGAGGGGTCGAAATTATCATAAATGATCCCCTCTATTACCTCCTAACGGGAATACG